GGAGGATGCTGAGCTGCGGCTCTCCCTTGAGCCCCCGCCAGCCCCCGCCACTGAGTGCTACAGCGTCTGCTGGACCCCGCTGCGCCCCGATGTGATGCTGAAGGTAATGGGGACCCCCTTGTGCCATTCTCTGAACCGGGATATTTGGGGTAAAATAAGCCAAAGCAGGGAGGATCTGGCATGGTTATGTGGTCCCATCATGATCAGGGGTACCCCATTTTCCAAAGTCCCTGGTAGCTAGAGGGTCCAGGGTGGGAAAAGCCCTGTGCCCTGATGCTGAGCCCCCAAAATGCTGAGGGGCCACAGTGGCTTCCTCCCGGTGCCATAATGGTAACCCCAGAACGCGAGAAGCGTGTTTATATAGAGACTGGATAAATAACTGCTGAAGATCACAATGCTGGCTAGAAACACGAGGAGCTCAGCAAGGTCCCTTCCAACCACAGACACAATGCGGCAGCTCCCTCAGGATGGGATCAGACCATGTCCATGCTTTCACCGCTGCAAAAATTTATGGGGGCTTTTTTTTTCTTTTTGTATCCTTCCCAGTTTTCTCCCTGGGTTAAATAAAAGCAGACTCTGCAAATAAGCCTTAGAGAGGGGAAGGAAAAACCCTGCCAGACCGTAATGTCCAGTTGTGGGGAGCCCTTTGGGCAGGTGAGGGATTGGAGCGGGATTCTGTGAGGACAGGGAATTTTTCCCCTTTAGCTCTAAATTGCCTGTTGATGTCTTTTTGGGCTGGTGGAAGATGTTGTCTGAACACAACCGCTGTGCAGGGGGCTGGTTTTCCTTTGCTGGCATCAGTTTGGAGTGGTTGAGAGGACAAGCAAGACAGAATAGATTTTTTTCCCACTTTGTTTTCTTTATATCTAAAACCAAATTATTGGAAAATATGATCCAGAAAAATCTAAGAGTTAAGAACAGGCTTCTTTCCCCCTCTTTCCCAGCTGGTGTAGCTGGTTCAGCTGATACCTGGTACAGCTTTTCTGAGCCTCCAGGGTTTCCACTTTAATAATTTATATCTCCTCTCCCCACCCCTCAGTGAGACTTAACCTTTCTCTGCCCCCGTGGCAGAAACAAGCTCTGGGCTCCCAGAGCATCACCTCAGCCTTGGGACCGGGACCGGGGCGAATAAAAGTGCTGAGTTGCGGTGGGAGGTTGCGGGGTCCCTCTCTGCCCGTCCCAGCGGCCCCAAATCCCTGGGCTTTCGGGGAAGCCCGTCCCCATGTGTGAAGTCACGCGGCAGGCTTAAGTCCTGCTGATCCTTCACTTTGGCAGAGAAGGGAAAGTTTCAGTGTTTTTGAAGCACAAAGTGATGGTTTCTGAAAGGAGGCTGATGAAGGATGGGGATGGCCCCCGGGAGCAGCAACTTTTGGAGCTGACTCTTGGCTTCGCTGCCCTGTCACTGCATTTTAAGGCTGTTGCCTTCAATTCTCCCACTCCACTTGTCCTGCAGCAATGCATCTTTGCTTCAACAGTTTTCAGCATTTTTTTTCACCAGCAACTCAAAAACCCCATTAATTTCTGATAATTGTGGTTGGCTGCAGAAGTGTAACCAGGGGGGCTCTCCAGGGCATGGGGTGTCACGCTTGGGTGTTACCTTTGGATCACTAAGCTTCTTCATTTAAGTTTATCTATCTATAACTGGCAGGCTTTGGGGAAGATTTCTTGTGGTGTTTTGTTCTTGGTTTTTTTATTTTAAAGGAAACCATAATTTTTCAGGTAGTAGAATTTTTATCCCTGTGGTGGGATTTTTCTATTCCTCTACCTGGCTGCATGTTGAGCGTAGACACATAAGGGGAAAAGGATGAAAAATTGTTGTCTTTGGCTTTAATTAGCAAGTTAAGTCTTTTTTTTTTCTTCAAGGTGAACAAAGTGCATCACTTGCACTATTGACTCTTGCTAGTGTTTTTTCCCCCTTTTCTACTCTCACACCATTTGATCATTTTATTGAAGTGCAGGCTGAGAAATCAAGCAGTTAGACAGAATGTCAGTGTTTTTATTGTACTCTGAAGCCCTGCTCTCATTCTTGGGGAGGAAAAAACTTAAGCCCAAATATCTTCTAGCCGGCCAGATGTGGGAAGCATAGAGGGAGCACCCGCTGCTTTTTGCATAAAACACCTAAATCTCATGGAGTTGGGAAAAGATGTGTCCCGTGACTGCTCTGACAATGCTGGGATAACAAACAGAGGGTTCTGCCTCTCCCAATGCACCTATTTGCATATGCACCCTCACCCCGAGGCATGCCTCACCATCTGATGGTGCTGTCTTGGTTGCAGGATTGCTTCTCCATGGCCAATGTCTCCTGGTATGGAGGGGCGAGCATCCGCGCCCAGCGCTGGCCGCTCAACAGCGCCGAGAGCCGCACACAGCCCTTCGTCAGCGGTGACTTAGGCAAAAACCCCACTGGCTACGGGCCTGTTCTGGAGAGATACTTTTTAGGCTCAACAGGTAATCACATCCTTCCCTGGCCAATCTCCCCTTGCTTTAATCTTTGTGTTTCTCCATCCCTCTGCTCATCTGTAAAGCAACTAGTTTAAGAGCAGGGTAGGTTATTAGATTTATTCCATACCATAACTGTCATGCTCACTATAAACTGGAGACAGCCCTCCTTCCTCAATGGCTTTCACTCCAGGAGGATATCACCCATCCTTCTACTTCTGAGGCCTACTCCTCTGCTGTTTGTGACCATCATGTTGTCTGAGTGTAACTCTGTGTACTTTATATTAATACTGTTATTAATATTGGGGTTTATTATTATTGTTATTATGATTTTATTAAATCTGGTTTTATTTCAACTCATGGGTCTTATTTCCTTTGCCCGATTCCCCTCCCTGGGTGAGGAGGAGTCATCGGGTGATAGAACAACGGTGTACATGACAGCAATGGGGTTGGCCTAAGTCACCCCAGGGAAATCCCCCAGTCTTGGTGTGGCTTTTTTCTTTTTTTTTTTTTTAAGCAGAGATCTGTGTCCATTGCCACATCTTCCAGCTCCTCTCGAGTGGCTTCACCCTGAGCTCACAGGTCTCTGGCACTGCTGTGGGATGCTGGATACAGGCATGAGTTTAGTGCTGTTGCCATTTTTGGGTGGATATTTGGACTATTTCCCCAAATTAATCAACTGATCTGCAACTGCCCTGCACTGGTGAAGCTGGAGATGCTGCCTAAGCTGAATGCAGAGGAAAAAAAAGGCAAGAAATTGAGCAAATCCAGCCCCTGAAAGGCATCTTGGAGGTTAAAAGGGATTAGTGGAAGTAGGGAGTGAGGATTTGCTTGTGTGGCTGAATCTGCAGCTGGGATCAATCTGGGAGGTCCCAGTACCAGTTGGACTCTGCTCCTCATGTCCCTGTGCCTGTGGCCACCAGTGCAAGAACCAAAAGGAGCCAGGCGCTTGCTAAGACATAGTATTCCTCTTCTCTCCCCAAAGGCGTGACGGTGACAGTGGCACCTGATGTCCCCCTCTTCCTCTCGCTGGAGAGCAACAGCCATTTCTGCCTGGAGACGCCAGCGGGTAGAGCCGCCGTGCCCCTGCGCTACCTCCTCTGTGTCAGCCCCGATGTCATGGCCGCCCACCGGCACGTGGGCAGCCAGCTTGGCGGGCAGGCACGGGCAATGCCAGACACAGCCCTCCTGGGGTAAGACGCTCCTTCCCTCCCAGCTTCGGGGCTGCTTTCCAAGCCCTAACCCCCCAGCAGGGAAAATATTTCCATTCGCTGCTTTTTCCCAACCACTCTGGGGTTCGCTGCCCTTTGCTTTGCCATTGCCACGCTCTTGGCATGGTCACTGCCTGGAGCATCTCGTGTCGACACAAGGTTTGAACCCACCCCTCATCTCTTTCCCCCATGCAGGTTGCCGATCTGGCGGTACATCGGCCCAGCGGGTTCGGCAGCCAAAATAAAGCGAGGTTTGAGGGCGCTGAGCAAGAGGTTGAAGCGGCATCATCTTCAGGAGGGTGTCCTGGCCCTGGGGGAGCACTGCACCGCCGCCCTCGCTGCCACAGTATGTCCCGTCCTGCTGGCCTTCGGGCTTGGAAGGCGAATGGAGAGCTGCCATTGGCACCATGAAATCCCTACATGTAAAATGCAAACGCACCCATTTTGTGGGGTGGGGTCCATGTTGGTGCGCCAGAGCTTCCCCTCCCTGAGAAGAGATGCTCGGTTTGGGGTTTCATCCCCAAAATGGGTGGGGAAAAAATGGGTTTTAATGCTTCTACAGAACCTTTTTCTGCCTTTCCATCCCCACAGGACAACATACCCTGGGAGTGGAGGAAGAGGCGTGAGTCGCCCCACAACTGGGACCCCTCCTTGATAGCACCGCTGCGCCTCTCCATCGCCCTGTCCCCCTACACCAGCATCGCCTCCCCGCTTTTCCTGCGCTCACTGCGGGATGCCGAGGCAGCGAGCTACTGGCTGAGCCTGCCACCCCGCTTTGGGGGCTGCTCGGTACGGGACCTTCCTCCAATCCCCAAACCTGCTGCTTGACCTAAAACCAAAGTTAAAGCTGAAAAAATACCCACAGAGGGCAACAACCTGCTCCTCCTGTGCTGGGGGCAAAGTGGTGCTCAGGGAGCAGCATTTCTCCTCTTTCGTAAGGAAACAGCTTTCAAATTTCAACTCCCAAAAGGTATTTTTAAAAGTTGCCAGCATTCAGGAAATACCCCCAATTCCTTTTTTTGCAGTCATTTTGATGATATGCCACTTTGCTATTACACACAGAATCACACAGAGAATCGCTTGGTTGGAAAAGCCCTCTGAGATCATCATGTCCAACCGTTCCTGTCTACCCCCTAAACCATATCCTTAAGTACCTCGTCTACCCGCTCTTTAAACACATCCAGGGATGGGGACTCCACCACCTCCCTGGGCAGCCTGTGCCAGCTTCTGACGACCCTCTCAGGAAAGAACTTCCTCCTTATCTCTAACCTGAACCTCCCTTGGCACAGCTTGGTGCCGTTTCCCCTTGTTCTATCCCCCATCACCTGGGAGAAGAGACCAGCACCCACCTCTCTCCAAGCTCCCTTGAGGCAGTTGGAGGTGGTGATGAGGTCTCCCCTCAGCCTTCTCTTCTCCAGGCTAAACAAGCCCAGTTCCCTCAGCCGCTCCTCATCAGGCTTGTTCTCCAGAGCCCTCCCCATCCTTGTGGCTCTTCTCTGAACACGCTCCAGAATCTCCACATCCTTCTTCTAGTGAGGGGCCCAGAACTGAACACAGCACTCGAGGTGCGGCCTCACCAGTGCCGAGTACAGGGGGATGATCACCTCCCTGGCCCTGCTGGTCACACTGTTTTTAATACAGGCCAAGAATTTTCTCGCAGAATTTTCTGGGGGCGGAAGATGCGAGGAGTTTTGCACCTTTAGGCATTGCACCGCAATGCTGCCAAGTGCGGGAGGGCAAGACAGGCATCCTCCAGCCTTGTCTATCTATCATTAGCAGGATATTTTATAAGTCTGACCAAAATCTCTGTCCTCTGCCGCAGGTCCCAATGCTGACTACGTGGAAGGGGCAGCTTTGTGCCCGTCTGAACGTCACCAGCGAAGCAGCACTAAGCTGGTACCTGGCCCGTGCCCGGCGTCTGCGGCAGGCTCTGGGGGCCACGTACGTGGTCTTTGAGGGTGCAGAGGGCGATGCCTTCCTGGAGCAAGGTGTCCCACCTCCTGCTGAGCTGGCGGGCGACCGATACACCGGGACGCTGGCAGCGGCACTGGCGACACTGGGAAATGGCACCATCATCAGCGCTGGTGCCAGGTGGGTACTGAGAAGATGCTTTGTTGGAGCATGAGGTGCTTGGGAGAGAGTCAAAGTGATGCTTTAAATACATCCTTGGCATGCTGAGGCATCGAGTGGCACCAGGGAAGCAGCGTGGAGGTGGTCGAAGGCAACACGTATGGAATGGTCCCTCTTGTATTTCCTCTTCCTCTGTCTTTTGGAACATTTTAATTATTTTTTTTTTAACATCTCAGCACATAAAAATGCTTAAGTGCATTAATGCCTGATGCAATAAAAATGCACCTTGTCACTTAAGGCCATTCAAGCTTCAAGTCGCTGCCTCTTCTGCAGGAGGGAAAGGGTGAATCACTGGACTCTTGGCCAAATCCTTCTGTTGGTAATTGCAACCCATTTGCGGCGTCAAACGACAGCAGTTTTCTGACTTTTCATGCTTGCAGAGCCCGCACCAGGGTTAATTTATTAATTAGCAATTGTAAACATGCCTCAAACCCCTTTGGTTAAAGGCACCAAAACCTACTCCTTTTCTTTTTTCCTCATTATTCTTACATTTGGCAAATGCAAAGGGATATGCAGACTGTTTGCAAAATGACTTATTTCGTGTTGTGGATGAGGCAATGGTGGTAAATTGCATGAAAAGGCAACTTCAAAATAGTTCAGAGAAAAAGCTATATTTCACGTGCTGAGGTGGTGACAGGCTCTTTACTCAGCCATCTGCAAAACCAGAGTGGTAGAAATAGCCCTTTTTCTAACCATTTTTCAGTCCATCCAGGATCCTACCATTCCTGGTGGGCAGTTTCCATGCCAGAAGTGTTTCATAAAACACTGCATCAGCCTTACCACCTCCTGCGATGAAAAAGTGTCCCTGGGAGACCTTTGGGGAATCAGCAAATGGTGCAAGGTTGGAGAAGGAACCAAACTCTAGGAGCAAGCAGACTCAGACCAAAAACCCCTTCCTTGTTTAGATAAGCTCCAGACCATTTTTTTTCAAGCCATCATGAAGGTTTAGATTTGACCCTTTTTCACCACCAGAAACACTGTCTCCAGCACTGGGCTGCTTGATGACATGACCCCCTGCTTCCCCAAGTAAACCCAAGACATAGAAAAACCAACCAACCAACCAACCAACCAATCCCCAGACCATTAGGGGAAATAATGTTTTCCTCTGGCAGATAAACCACTGTCAGGAATCGCAGTCACTCAGTGTGAAACACATGAGCGCAAATGAAAGCCAGCAGAAATCCTCCGTGTAGGACTTGCCCCTTGAGCATGCATCCATGTCACGAGGAGGTTTGTGTTTTGGGTTTGGGGAACGACGTGGACCCAGGGCTGAGGGTGCTGCTGGGATCCCCCAGTTGCTATCATGGGTGTGGGCTTTTTTCCGAGCTTTTTCCCACCACAGTTGGTGTTGCCATATGAAAAATAGCAAGAATGTGGCCACAATCCAGAGCGTGGCTGTGCTGCCATCAAGGTGGGCCGCCAAACTGTGGTCCTCATGAGATCAAGGCAGGAGGAGGAAAGCTTGGAGCAGGGGATTTGGAGAAAAGGAGGAGGATTGCCGAACTTGGCACGGCAGGAGCAGTGGTTGGGAGTGGTATTGGGGAGCACTGATTTCCTCCAACAAAGATGTCAAGAAACCCCTATCTGACTACAGTGATGGCCAAGACAGCCAGGCACTGTAGAGTTTTGGCTCCTGCGAGTCATCTAAAGACATTGGGTTGTGCTTGTTTCCCCCAGATCCAGCCATCTACCGCTCTTTGTCCAGATGAGCCCGCTGCGCTCAGACTGGAGCCATGAGGGGCTGAAGGGGGTGATTCCCTCTGTGCTGCACTACAGCCTCTTGGGCTACAACTTCTTCATCCCTGACGCAGTAGGTAATAATTTATTTTCTCCTTTCCCTCCCCCCCTACTTCTGGCTTTTCTGCAGAGTTTTTTGCAGTGGTTGTTCAGGTAAGAGGAGCAGGGGAGGTATGTTTGGCACCATCTTAGGTGCACTATATGAAGGTTTGAAGCACTTTGTTTCTGGTACCCAATTTTCTGCCATGCTGACTTGATTGGGTTGAATGTTACTAGGGAATTGACTGAGGAATGGAAAACAAAAAACACATGGTATAAATTTTAACAGGCAGCCCCAGAAGCAGCCAGGTCCCTGGGGATGCCCTTCGCAGAGTTTTGTGACCGCAGGCAGAGGGTAGCCTGTTGTCTCTTGCAGATTTGCTTGAGCTAAAACCCACCCAGCAAAAGCAAACAGGGAGCCTACGGCTGGGAAACAGCATGCCCAGGCTCCTGGCTGGAAAATAGATGTGCCTGAAACACCAGCAGTCCTGCTCCAAGTTTGCATTTCTGTTGCGAAGCACAATGGCTTGAGAAATCCTTAAATAAAGACATCACAAAAGTCGAGAAACAATCCTTTAATGGGGACCAAGCAGCTCGGTTTTCCCCTCTCCTTGGAGGTGACTAGGTTATTTCTGTTTAAAACATGCCCCAAACACGCAGAGGCTTCACATGATGTTTCAAACCCAGAGCACGGAGCTCCAAAGACAACCCTTAAAAAGGGGGTTGTTGAGCAATTATTTTTTAATTTGGCCTCTATTTTTAGCCGGTTTTCTTTAGTAAACAAGGCTCAGGCAATCACAGCGTGCCAGTTCTCTCCTCAAAGGGATGCTGAACCCGTTGGCTTATTTCAGCCAAGATGGACGAGAGCATAACCCTGCATGGAGTGGGCCGTGGCATGTGGCAATTACTGTCTGGGCCAGTGGTCCCTCGGGTCATGTCACCACAGCTTGGGAGCTGCAACCATGCACAGGGGCTTCTCAGGATGGGAAAAGCCTCTGGAGGAGATGGGCCTTTGGGTGAAGCCTCAGCATTGAGGGGTTTTGTGCCATTTCTAGGGGAAAATGGGCCAGATTTGGAGCGATGGCTCCCAGCGACACTCCAGCCCCAAGGCCTTCACTTCCCTGTCCCATCTCGTCCTGTCCTTCCAAGCCCATCTATGATGTTTCAGAGCGGAACTGGAACCCCCTTCAGCTGCATGTTTCTAATTAATTAGTTACCAATACTCTGCTTCTGCACTGCTTTTGTCTACAAGTTTGAAGAGATCCAAATTATAGCGGTATTTTCCTGTGATGCTTCATCTTTGCACATCAAAGCAGCAGGGAAGCTCGGCATTTTCCCAACACTTCCTTTTGCAGTAGAGAAATCCCTTTTAGCCTTGTTCTGCTAAAATTGAGAAGCTCCTGAGACATCACCACCCAGCGTGTCTGGTCCTAAAATGGCCAGAGGTGGATGTTGGACTGACATTTGCTGATGGTGCTCAAGACAGACACACATGGATGGGGAGAATTCAGCTCCTTTTACAATGGGACACCATGCCCTGCCCACAGGGAAAGCAGGTCCTTTGGGGCTCATCCTGCAATGAGGTGCCCCAAAACAGCTTTACTCATCTCCTTGTCCCCGGCAGGAGGGAGCCTGGACAGTGATGCCCCGAGGGACTTGGAGCTGTACGTGCGGTGGCTGCAGATCGTGACGTTCCTCCCCGTGATGGCCTTCAGCACGCCGCCCTGGCTCTGCTGTGATGCCTGGGTACGTACCCCCATGTCCCGCAGAGGGGTAGACAGTGTCCCTCATGTGACAAACACCCCCAAAGGCCATCAAGGTCCTTACTGGGGAAAGCTGAGGCTAAAAATACTTGTCCTGTTCTTGCTCCCTGCAAAATCCTGCTCCCTGCCCCAGCAGCCAGGTCACCATACACTCTCAGCAGAATTTTTGCTGCAAAATTCATGAGGTTTTGTGACTTTATACTTTGTGCAACCACAGGGTCGGTATCCACAATGCCTGTACAAATGACAGCCATCGAAATGTGCCTCTTTCCTTCCTTTTTGCTGCTGGAGTTGGTTAATTCTAGTTTGGTCAAGTAGTTAATACCTACAGTAGAGTGAAGCCTGCAGATTCACATTCAAGGTCTTTTTGAACAGCTGGAGTCATTTTCCCAGGGATGTCACCTTTAGGGCAACAAAAAGGGAGAGCAATTCTTTAAGTCGGGAGCACAGGGTGGAAATGTCATTAAATCTCTTTGTCAGCGACAAAAGAGTTCATTGCTTCGGTCAAAGACATCAACACCCCGGCAGATACCATCTGTCAGCTGCTGTCCTCAGCTTTTGCATCTAAATGGGAATAAATCTACTGTGTCCACCCTGTTTGCACCTCATTAGCTGCCATAACTTGATCAGGACGTTGCAATTTGGTAATCTCTCCTTCCAGGGGAATGTATTTTTTTTTCCTATTTTTTTCTGCTTGCCCTGTTGTTCATTGAATGAAGGACTTGTCATGGGTTCCTTTTTCTTCCCCTACCCTGCAGGTCCTGAATCTTACCCGGCAATGCATACAGAGGCACCGGGACTTTGTGGTGCCACTCATCCTAAAATACAGCGAGGAATGGCTTCATTTGGGCTACCCTATCTTCCGGCCAGCATGGTGGCTCAGCCCCACGGATCCAACTGCTTTTACCATTGAGGATGAATTTCTCATTGGAGATGAGGTAGGAAGCTCTTAATCCAATTGCTTGGAGCTACAGCCCGCAATAACCCCAACATGCAGCTCCCTGAGCCTCTCCAGGAGCTCCTCTAGCCACATTTTGGGGGTTTTCCATCCTCCTCAAATGCAACCCAGAACAGATGGGGAGCATCAGAGAGCACAGACCCTGGGGCCCAAAGTCATGCTCTCAGTTGAGCTTGCCCATCCATAGATTGCCTATGGGATTTACTATCTTTATTTTATAGTTGACTCCCTATATTTTACCCCACCAGCAGCTCTAGTGAGGATTTATTCAGCCCATATGAATATTGTGAATGACCCCATCAGACTTAAGCCCATCAAACGTGTAAGGCCACAGCAAGTGAGGCTTGTGGTTTGCTTGGCTCAGCTAGCCGTATGTCCTGGCTAATCCTCCATGTGCTAAATGTCTTTTTTTTTTTTCCTCTCACTGCAGGTTCTGGTTGCCCCAATAACAGAAAAAGGGCAAATGTGGAGAGATATTTACCTGCCTGGAGAAGGGCACCTATGGATGGATACCAATACTGCCCGCGTGTTTGACGGAGGCACCATCCTCAGGAATTACTCCGCCAGCCTTGCAGAGGTGCCGGTTTTCGTAAAGACCTCCTAAATTCACAGACTGCTGCAGCTTTTGGACAGTTGACTTCTTTCAGAGCAGCACTGGCCAAATGTGCCCCACTCTTCCTTGAGACTCTTTCAGCCTATTTGCACTTTTCCAAAAACCTGTTTTGTTTTGTTGGTTTTGGGTTTGTTTTTTTTTTTAATTCCAGCAGAAATTGTTTGAATCTTTTATTATTCGCTGTTATTCTAAAACAGTGGAAGTACAGCTTTGGCACAAACATACAGCCAGGCCCAGTAATAACCCATATCTTTCCAGTGATTTTCCCAGTGGAATGTTCATGTGTGTGTGTTTAGGGTGGGCACATCCAGCCTTTCCAGGTCCCTGGCACCATGCTCAAAATGCCGCCTGGTCCAGAGAGTGGGTTTTCCAGAATAGGAGAGAAACAAACATCAATACCAGATGGATTGTTTTGCTTTTAAAGAAAAAAAGTATCTAAATGGAAAACTAAATATGATAGCTCTGTTCATGTGCATGGACATCACAGATGCTAAGCACTCCCAGCTTCTCCCATCTGATGCTGTGTGTACAAGCTCCCAGGAGAGTCTTTGGTAGCAAGAGCCCAACTTTGAGGATACTTGGAAAACTGGGTGACTTCCGAGTCTGTTTGAAGCAGGTTTCTGTGGAAGAAAAATAAACTTGATCAAGCAAAGAAGTGGATCTAACAGAGCATGATGTGAACAGACAGGATGATTGCCCTCCTGGGAATAAAAGCTCCAGAGCTCAGCATGCCATACCCAACCTTCACACTGACCTCTTGTGTACCCCAGACAGTGCTTTTCACCATTTCTTCAATTTTATGGGTTTATTTTCCAATTATTTCTTGCAGTGCAAGAGGGATCCGATGGGACCAGCCTTCTTCCATTCAGCAGAAAACGTAGCCATAGGCAAAACAGATGTCCCACGTGCTGAATATGCATTTAAGGAGATTATTAGCTACCCTGATAACCCAGGTTAGGGGCATAAACCTGTACTTCAAGGGTCTGACTTCAAAGACTGGCATTTGTCAGCAGGGACTAGGTGATAGGTGGTAGATGGGTTCAGTTAAGTGTTAAGTGCAGGGAAGCAGAAGGCTTTGCCTGTTGGAGAATGGGCTGTTTGGTGCTGCCAGGCAAGACAACTCACAGAGTCTATTTGGGGAAGGGGCTCACAACCACCACCCCCCACAAAGGCTACTGCCCAGTAGGCCAGGAGTTACCTAAGTCCTCAAGGGACTGGACTGTATAAAAGGCACTGACTCAGGGAGCCATGTATGTGCCCACTACCAGAGGATCACCACATCCGTCACTGTCATCATGGGGTCGTTGCGATATCTTTTATCTTTCCTGTCTTTTCTCTTCTTTTCTTTCTTCTTGTAAAGGTTACCAATAAGAACCCACATTGCTGATGTGTTGTATTTTTCCAGCCTCAAGTTGGAATACTTTTCCAATTCAAGTACTTTATAAATAAAACGTTTATTTAATCGTTTGGTGGTGTTTCACCTCAATTTAGCCCAAGGGGATTTGCAGAACCTTAGTCGCTTTGCACGCTGCTTTGTCAGTGACTTTGGAGGGGGAAGTGGTAATAAGGGAACAATCAGATGAAACTCGTTCCCAAATTGGTGTAGAAAATATGGATGTAAATTCTGGGGAAAAAGAAACAGCGCTGTGTGCCACGTTGAGGAATCAATGCGAAAGCACCGACTCAGACTCCTCCTGAGGGTGAGTCAGGACACCCAGTTAAAATTCAGGAGCCTAGTAGCTGACCCTTAATTAAAACTGAGGTGAGAGGTAGGGAGGATAAAGGCAAAGGTCCCCTGTGCACTGTTTCTGGAGTAACTGGTGCGCAGGAGGAGGCACTGAAATCCGAGATGCCAAAGATACCGACTGTGGCCGTCTCCCTGGTGTTGCAACGCTTGGTACAGGAGAAACTGAAGTTGAGGTTGCTAAAGTTGCTTCAGAGGCAGAACGAAAGATAACCCTACGTGTGCATAATGAACAACTGAAAGCTGAAAATCCGTTTTTGAGAGCTGAATTGGATTCTGGAAGAGGGAAAAGAGCAGAAAGCTACGAGAAAAATTGACCTTGTTATTATCAAATGCTCTGACTCCCTCTCCCACTCGAGTCAGGAGTTGAGTTGTGTGCTGACCCTGATCCTTGGGATGGCCGGTGGATCCCAGCCACCTTAGACCCCTCGTGCGGGGAATGCCTGGTGTTTTCAAAACACACATACAGCCCCTCGAAGAACGAATCCTGAGAGCCACAGCACACCGTCATCAAATCCTGGGCAGCAGCGCTGCACAGCCCAGACATGAAATGTGGTGGGCAGACCCGGCGGTGGCTCCAGCAGGAGCAGGGGTTGCCAGTGAGCTCCCGGTGGGACTTGCCACCACAGGACCTTCCCTGGAATCCTGAGTCCTTCCCACCCTTTTGCTTTCCAAAAGCAAAGCAAAACCTTAACCCTGCCGCGTCTTTGCGAAGGGCAAAAACTGGAAGCTATGGTTTGGGGATTGGGCTACCCAACCCGCTTAGAAAGCTACAAAACCCACACTAGGTGGGCTGTCCTGACATTCTGACCTTTTCCTATTTTACTCTGTTTCTTTTTTATCTAAGAGAAGGAAAATTATGTGGGACCTATGTTAATCTTAACTGTGTTGATAATCGCGTGTGTTGTTTAATCTTGGCTTTTGTCTCTTTATGTTTAAATAGAGAAAGATGTTTTGAACATCTAATATTGACTCGTTGCCTTGAGGTTTAAGTTACTTGTGTTATTGTAAAATACTGTACTGAAAGTTTATGTTTTTCCTCCTCTTTACTGCTCTTGGACTTGAGGAGAGAAATCCCCAAACTTAGCATGGGAGCTGATTCATGGTTTTGTGCATGTTTGGAGTCACACTGACCAAGGGGTTAGTAAGCCCAGGTGAACCCCATGTTTGTATTACTACCCTGAGTAATTGTTTGCATTGTTAGTCTAATTCTTTTTATTCTTTTATATGGTATAATAGAGCATGATGCTTTAGAAAACCCTTCTCTCTGCCGTTGCTCTCCTTAGAAAGGGATGAGGAAATGAGCCTCTGAACCTTGTCTGGGAATTAGTTCAAGGGTTCATGCGCATTTGGGATCATACTAAGGTGGTTGTGGTTAAATTCTCAAGTCTTCAGAAGAAGGTATTGGCTTTTCTATTATTAATCTTAATTTCTCCAAGCTGTTAGAAAACAAGTTAATTGTGATAATTGAAACCTGTTCGGCCAACTGTACATGGGGCAGAAGGAGAGCTCCATTTGAAATTCAGTATAACAAT